GGCGGCGGTGGCGCCCCCCCCAAGGCGCCCCGGGGCCGTAAGAAGAAGCGGATGCTGGAGTCGGGGCTCCCCGAGATGAGTGATCCATACGTCCTCGCCCCCGAGGACGACGGCCACCAGAAGGACGGCAAGACCTACAGGTAGGGCTCACGGGCCAGGGCCTCGCGGGGAGAGAGAGGGTTGCTGCGCCCGCTTGCCCTGCCCCTCCACCCCGCGCAGGGCGGGCCCGGGCCTCTTGCATGTGTCAGCTGCTGCCCACGTGCACCCCCTGCCCCCCTTTTTATTAGTCAGCCTTAACTGCCGAGCGACAAGAAGGCCGCACTAGGATTTCTCTCTCCCATGGCCCTTTTCCAAGAATCTGCCCACCCTGGGGCCCTGTATGGCCGGGGTGCGGGGAGTAGGACCCCCCCCATACACGCACACCCTTTCTGGGGTGTCTCCTCTAAAGGACTGTGCCCCCGCTGATGGCAGAAGTCGGTGCTCTTCGGTGGTTCGCAGCTTTTGCATATGGCGCCACGCGCAGATCCATCTCAGTACCCGCCTGTCCCTCCTGAGCTGCCAGGGCCCCCCTCCCCCCCCGCCCCCCCTCCCCACGGGTTTGGGGAGTCGCTGCGGACAGGGCCGAGTGCATGGCTGGGACCGGGGGTCGTCCCTAGCGTACCGAGATGGGCAATGTTGTTCCCATTTTAGGAGCGAAGGGAACTGCGGCACAGGAAGTGGACAGAGCCTTGGGCTCACGGATTCAGTTCCCGGCTCCACCACGAACTTGCTGTGTGACCCTGGGCAAGTCCTTTTTTCCCCCCCCTCTCTGGGCCTCAGTTTCCTCATCTGTAAAATGGGGAGAGTTGTGCGCACCTCCCGCGTTGGGAGGAGGTAGCAAGCGCGCCACGGCGGGGAGCATCAGCAGGAGGTCGAGCGGCAGTCACGTCACGTGCGTGCGTGTGTGCGTGCGTGCAGCCTTAGCCCGCTCGAGCCGTGGAGCGCGCCCTTCCCCCCTCCCCAGCAGAGGGCAGAGTTTCTGGGTCCAAGTATTGAGCACTGCGGGGTTCCAGCTGGTCATCCCCAAGTTCACTGCAGCTTTATTATTACAGGTGTACCCCACTTTATACAATTAACTGTTCCCGGAACATTTCCATCTTACCATATTCCAAAGGTACCTGACACGTTTGATTCCTTTCACTGAGGCCATCCGTGTGTATCCCTTGATAACGTGCAAACCCCTGTGTCCTCCAGTGCGTTAGACGTGCGGGTTTGTACCTGCTCCGAGCGTGACCACCGGGCCACAAACCTCTGCCAGTGTAGATGCTGCTGTTGTCGGGGTTCGGGTCTGTCAAGATCTCTCCTCGTGGGGATGTGTGTGAACCCCCCCTCCCCTCCCGGCATGTGCAGTGGGAAGGACTCTGCTAGGCCTTCCCACCCCTCAGTGTTCTTGGAATCGTGTTCTTTTATGCCGGTTCTGGGGTTTGAACTCGGGGTACAGGCGTGAGCCACCAGCACCAGGCTGTTTGTCGAATGCCTGAAAGACCCCATGCTTGTAAAGAGCACTGTACAATTGAAGAGGGACTAACTATCCTAAACAAAAATAATTCCTTCGGAATGCAGACCCTTAGGGCTAGAAAGGTGGCTCCGTGGTCGAGCGCTCGCCTCACATGCATGAAGCCCCGGGTTCGATTCCCCAGTACCACAGACACAGAAAAAGCCCGAAGTGGCGCTGTGGCTCAAGTGGTAGAGCGTCAGCCTTGAGCAAAAAAAAAAAAAAATCTCGGGAACAGTGCGTAGGCCCTGAGTTCAAACCCCAAGACTGGCAAAAGAAAAGAAATGCAGAACTCTCTATAAAGTTCCAAAGGAAAAAAGTTACTTCAAGGAGTTTCACTTTGGTTCCATGGTACAGATGTAAACTTTAAAAAACGAAAGGAAAGCTCCCCGTTTGCATCTCCCGATTAGGATTTGGGAGGATTGAGTTCTGCCACTCAGAGCACGCCAGCCTTGTGTCTCTAAAATGGGGAGATGAGTCATGAATCATTCTAGCCTTCATCTATCCCGTGGAAATGTTCGGAGGGAAACCTGACCATTAAAAATGGTTACAATGGGCATCTGAGCGCCGGGCACTGGTGGCTCCCGCCTGTCATCCTAGCTACTCAGGAGGCTGAGATCTGAGGATCACAGTTCAAAGCCAGCCTGGGCAGGAAAATCCATGAGACTCTGGTCTCCAGTAAAGCACTCAGAAAACCGGAAGTGGCGCTGTGGCTCAAGTGGTAGAGCGCTTGAGCTGAAGAGCTGAGGGACAGCGCCCAGGCCCTGAGTTCAAGCCCCACGACCGACCCCTCCTAAAAACAGGAAAAATCCAGGTTATTTATCGGGTCACTGTAAACAGGATGGCGCCCCCCCCTTCCCCGTGGTGTGCCCCTGGCCCTCTTGGGGCTACAGTGGCCACACAGGGTGTGTCCTGAGGCCGGGCACTAGCTCTCATGGGGCACAGGGCTGCCTTGGCCGCCACTCGCCTAGGTCAGATCGCTCAGGACTCCTTCACTTCATCCGACTTCACAGTTAGAAATCACAGGCTGAGCAGCCACTGCCCAGAGGGCTCGGGATCCACCCGGGGTGTTGCTGGTAGTGCAAACTGTGTGTATACAGGACGATGAGGCTTCTCGGGGAGCGGGGGACCCCTATCTAAACTGGAAAATTTGCTTGGCCCGGCCGCATGCCTGCCATCCCAGCACTTGGGGAGGCTGAGGCGGAAGGATCGAGGGTTTGAGGCCACCTTGGCCTGGTAGCCTCTTGAGAAGAAATAAATGTATGTGTGTATGTACGTGTGTATGTATGTGTGTATGTTGCCCACACAGTGTGAAAGGAATTTTATTGGGTCTTTGTATCGAGCCTGCATTTTACCGTGGCTGGAACCTGTCACGGGGGCTCGTGTAGACTTCACCTGGGCCTCAGGTCGCTGCTTCCGAGGCTTCAGAATGGGAAAGCAGCTCAATTGTTCCGAGTGGGGGTCCGGGGCGCTCAGCCTTCCCGGGGTGATCTGACTCTCAGAGCGACCGCCCAGTGACCTAGGCCCCTTCCCCTGCCCAGCGCCTGCCCAGCATCTCTAGCGGGCAGGAAGAGGAGGTTAGCTTGGCGACACGGCTTTGTAGTGAGCAGCCTCCCCTTTGGACGGATGACTCACTTTCCCAGCCTCCTTGGAACCGGGGACGCTCTTTGGGAGGTTGGTTGGAAACATAAGCCAGGTGTGGTGGCTCACGCCTGTAGTACTCCAGGCTGAGAGTCTGAGAATCTTAGTTCAGAGCTAGCCTGGACAGAGAAGTTCACGAGACTCTCACCTCCATCCCGTGAACTACAAAAAATGCTGCAGGTGCCTGGCACACAGCAACAGACGGGAGGGAGCTACTGTTCCCGCGTCGGCCTTTAAAGATCGCCTAGTCTATTGTCATGATCTTTCAGCGGTTTCTGCAGAGTCTGCTCTAATGGGAACTTCTGAAGCAGATTTGTTTGTTTATTTGTCTGTGTTGATCAACCGTGAGGCTTGAACTCAGAGCCTGGACGCTGTCCCTGAGCTCTTCGCAAGGCTAGCGCTCTGCCATTTGGAGCCACAGCATCACTTGCGGTTGCCTGGTGGTTCATTGGAGATCAGAGTCTCAGGGGCCAGGCGTCCGTGGCTCACGGCTGTCATCTTCATCTGAGGTACTCAGGAGGCTGAGCTCTGAGGATCAGGGTTGGAAGCCAACCTGAGCAGAAAAGTGCCCCCTGGGATTCTCACCTCCAATGAACCCCTCAAAAACCAGAAGTGGAGCTGTGGCTCAAAATGGTCAAGCGCTAGCCTTGAGCAAAAAATAGCTCAGGAACAGCAGCGCCCAGGCCCTGAGTTCAAGCCCCAGGACCAAGCAACACCAAAAACAAGACTCTCAAAAACAAGACTTTTCCCTGCCCGGGCTGGCTTTGCACAGTGACCCTCAAATCTCAGCCTCCTGAGTTAGGACTACGGATAGGAGCCACCAGTGCCCAGCTTGCTCTGACATTTTTTAATGTAATTAACTTTCTTGATAAGAGTGCTGTGGAACTCAGCGGCTTTATTTGCATTAAAATGCCAGTGTTGTAGCCGCAGGCTCGGGTCCTAGCAAAGCCGTGGCCACTTCAGCTCAGAGCCTCTGCTGATGGAGGCCGGCGCTTGAGCTCACAATGTCCCGCATGTAGCCGGTCTCTCCATTTCCCATAGCCAAACGCTGAGGCCTGGCCTCCTATGCCAGCCTGTAACTTGCCCGCTTGGACTAGAGCCCAGGTAATGCAGACTGCCACCGGTGCATCCTGCGGACCGGCCTTCAGGGGACGTGGCCTCTCGGACAGTGGCCAGGGGCTGGGTGAACTGGTAGTCCAATGATTGTCCATCCCTGTAAGGCCTGTAGCCCGGCTGGCTGCCCGTGCCTTTACTGAGGAACTTGGCACCCCAGCATCTCAGGAGGCTGAGATCGGAGGACCCTAGTTCAAAGCCAGCCCAGGCAGGAAAGTCCATGAAACTCTGATCTCCAGGCCGAGTTCAAGCTCTAGGAAAAATGTTGTGTGGTTCTGTTCTGAAGGGTTGCAGCTTATGGGGGAGCAGAGGGGAGGGGCGCTGAGGGCATTTCTGAGACTCAATCGGGAAACCCCTACAAGGTGACTTTGTCCTCCATCTCCTGGCTCCAGCGTGCTCGGAAAGATCAGGGCCCCGGCATAGCCTCCTCCCATTCAGCCCACACCCCCATAGCTACTGGCTTGTTTCAGGAGGGGTTTGGGGGAGTACGATTTTGAACTGCAGTGTAGGGGGCCCAGGCCCAGCTGGCCAGGGCCTCAGAAATCCTCCTTTCCCCACCCCGTCCCACCGGACATGGCCCAAGAGGACTCGAGTGGACGTCTGTGCGTGGAGATCACTTTTGCACGCACGGGGAGCGTGGCCAGGTGTGGGCACGGGCGGAGGAGGCGGCCCCTCCCCGCGGGCCTCTAGGTCAGCTCAGGCGGGCAGCGGGGCTCCACAGCGCCCCCAGCGGCGGGGCCCTGACGCTGCCCTCCCCTTGGCCAGGTGTCGCATGTGCTCGCTGACCTTCTACTCCAAGTCGGAGATGCAGATCCACTCCAAGTCGCACACGGAGACCAAGCCCCACAAGTGCCCGCACTGCTCCAAGACCTTCGCCAACAGCTCCTACCTGGCTCAGCACATCCGCATCCACTCGGGCGCCAAGCCCTACAGCTGCAACTTCTGCGAGAAGGCCTTCCGCCAGCTCTCCCACCTCCAGCAACACACACGGTAAGGGCCGCGACCCCCGCCCCGCACCACTCCACGCGCGCGCGCCCACGCCTGCGTGCCCCCCGCCCCCCAGGCCATGTGCCTCGGGGGCCTTCGCGAACCTTTGGGATCCTCGATCGCCTCCAGCTGTCTGAGAAATAAACTATATACACACGTGCATGAGGTGGGGGGGCTTGAGCGTTGTAATTTCCGATCCCCAAGTCGGGGCCGTGCCACTGGGGGTGGGGGGGGATGTGCGGCGCAGCCCACCTTCTGGCCAGGGCGGCCATGGGCGTCCAGCTGGGGGGGCTGGACAGGTGCTGTTCTTGGTCAGTTACTATGTGGAAATTAGGGTACCCATGACCAAGGTGGGGGGACACCATGGGAGGGAGCGGAGGGCGTAATCAGACAGAGCACAAGGTGTCCCGGAGCTGCAGGTGCGCTCTTCCTCCTCTCGGCCAGCCACCCGACCTGCGATCGATCGCGATCGATTGATCGATCGGTGATGATGCATGGCCTCTCTCTCTCTCTCTCCCTGGCGGACTTGTGTTGGGGGGGGGCTCGTCCGCCCACGCGCCCACCATCGTCGCCCCCAGCGGAGCGAGTGCTCCCTCCTCCCTCCTTCCTCCTCTCCTCCCTCACCCCCGGCAGGATCCACTCCAAGATGCACACAGAGACCATCAAGCCCCACAAGTGCCCGCACTGCTCCAAGACCTTCGCCAACACCTCCTACCTGGCTCAGCACCTCCGCATCCACTCGGGCGCCAAGCCCTACAACTGCTCCTACTGCCAGAAGGCCTTCCGCCAGCTCTCCCACCTCCAGCAGCACACACGGTAAGGGAGAGGGGCGGGCCCGCCCGCCCCGCCGGCATGCCCTCCCCACCGCCCCGCCCCGACACCCACTGCAGCCCGCATGCGGGGGGGGCCCGCCCGCCCCGCCGGCATGCCCTCCCCACCGCCCCGCCCCGACACCCACTGCAGCCCGCATGCGGGGGGGCGGGGGACCCGCCTGGCTGGAGGAGAGGCTGGCTGGAGGAGAGGAGGAGGAGGAGGAGGACTCGAGTGGATGCCAAGAGGTCGTGGCGTGCCGGGCCGGAGCTGTGGGGGACACGACAGGACGGCGCTGGAGCCGGGGACGCCGGGACTGCTCCCCGCACGCCCCACTTCCCCGCGGGAAAAGGAAATGTGCGCATGCGTCTTGCAAGATGGAGTTAGTTCAGAGCTTCGCGCCCAAGCCGCAGGCGTTGGATGGGAGAAGCCCGCGCCCAGCGGCCCCAGCCTGGTAGTTCAGGAACGCCGGGGGTGGAGGACGCAAGACCCCCCGTGCTAAGTACTCTCCGAAGATCGAGAAGCTTCCACTGCGTAAGGATGCGCCCCATCGCCCCCCGATCTGGAGGGAGCAGGGGGAAGCGGAACATGGCAACTGCTAGAGCTGATGGATGGTCGCAAGTTGAGCTGGAAAACGGGTCCCGCGCAGCCGCGGTGCGGGAACACAGGCCGCCGCCCCCTGGCTTGGAGGACAAAGAAGAGACACAGGATGGAAGACGCGGAGCCTGTCCAGAGGCCCAGAGAAGCTTCTAGTTGCGGCGATGGTGGGGCAGGCCCCATGGAGCAGGGGTTGGGCACGCGCCCGCCCAGGCCCACACAGCAGCGCGCCCTGTGGTGTGGGGAGAGGTCAGCCCGCTTGGAGCTGGCCTTGCCATCGGTGGCCACAAGGCTTGGACTGGGGTGCCCTGGCGCGCAGCCTCCCTCGCCGTCTCGATGCCCGGCTGGCTCACACTGCGACGGGGGCCGAGCCCGGTCCTTTCCTTCCTTCTCCTTACCGCCGCCGCCGCGCTCACCTTGTTTCTGACCATTCCGAGGGGCAGGTACTAGAGGAGGGTGCGCCGAGACCCCGCCCACCGCCCAGCACATGGGGCTGCTCGCCTGGAGCTGGCCGCCGCCGCGCCGGCAGCACAGGGCGCCTGCAGGTGGGCTGCGGAGCCGGCCCTGCAGCGCCTCCTCACCCGCCCTCTGTCTTCTCTTCTCTCTCACCCCGTGCAGAATCCACACTGGGGACAGACCGTACAAATGCGCACACCCCGGCTGCGAGAAAGCCTTCACGCAGCTCTCCAACCTGCAGGTAAGCGGCCGCCACTCCTGACTCACGCCCTCAGCACTCACGAGGTGCCCAAGTAACCCCCAAACTCAGCAGCCCGGGACGGGCATTTGTGAGCTCAACAAAATCAGGCCAGGCCTCGCAGGCTGCCTCTGTAATCCTGCCTCCTCAAGAGGCGGAGAGCTGAGCATCTTCCCTCCATTGAGCCACCAAAAAGCCGGAAGTGGAGCCGTGGCTCAGGTGGTACAGCACCCGCCTTGGTGAGAAAGCGGCAGGCAACTCCTCCCCCCAAAAAAAAGGCAAAACATTTCCTCTGGTTTACGTGCGGTAAGCTGTCTACCCGCACACAGTAAGCCTCATTGTATATATATATTTTTCAAATTCTTTATTGTGATTAAGTGATTACATACATTTCCCAAATTTCACAGTATTGTGGGATAGTGATGCTTAGTTAAAGCCACAAACACATTCTGACTTTCATGGGGCAAATTGTCGTGGTCTATAACATTTATGAGTCCTATGAGCTTTGACAGTACAGTTATTTCTTCCACATTGGGTGGTATGTACATTTTTTTTGTTTTGCATAGCATCAGCTGTTCCCTCTTTACCGCCGTTCCCTCCCTCCCATCGCTGCCTTTGAGTTGCTTAGTTCATTTTGGTCAATGTCCCGTGCAGCTGATGGGTCCTGCTGTTATATGTTTTTCCCTGATTCCCTCTAGTTCTGTGTCATCTTCCCGGTTTCCCTCCGGTGTGCACATATACACCATATATGTGATCAGCAGCATGCCTCATTGTATATAACATAAATAGATCTTCCAGAATCCCCAAAGGAACGTTGGTGGTGGTTGCGGGGGGAGGAAGCATTGTTTTCTGCTTTTCCAATTGTTGTTATTTGCATAGCTGGGGATTGAACCCATGACCTGATACATGCAGCGAGGCCAGGCGCTTTACCACTTGAGTTGTACCCTGTCTCCTCCCTTTGTGTTATTTTTTTGTTTGAGACAGGGTCTCTGTGTTACCTAGTCTGGCCTTGAACTCGTTAAATAAGTCCAGGCCAACCTGAAACTCAAGATTCTCCTGCCTCTGCCGGGATTACAGGCGTGTTCGGTGTGCCTGGCGTTTTTGCAGGCTTCCTTGAGCTGGGGTGGGCTGAAGTGGAAAGGCAAACGCGGTGCCGGTTCACTGTTACCAGTTTCAAAGCTGAGTCCACGGCTCATGCCTGTAATTCTAGCTAGTTAAGAGGCTGAGAAGCCGGGCGCTGGTGCTCACACCTGTCATCCCAGCTAATCAGGAGGCTGAGTCATGAGGATCGTGGTTCAAAACCAGCCTGGGTAGGAAAATCTATGAGCCTCCTCTCCAATGAATCACCAAAAAGCGAGAAATGGCGGTGTAGCACCAGCCTTGAGCAAAAGAGCCACGAGACAACTAAGTTCAAGCCCCAGGACTGGCACCAAAAAAAAAAAAAAAGCTCCAGAAGCGGGACGCTGCGGCTCACGCCTGCAATCCTAGCTGCGGCTCACGCCTGCAATCCTAGCTGCGGCTCAAGCCTGCAATCCTAGCTGCGGCTCAAGCCTGCAATCCTAGCCGCTGAAGAAGCTGAGATCTGAGGATCACCTTCCCTGGCCAGCCCAGACATTGACTTTTTTTTGGGGGGTTTCTGGTCATAGGGCCTGGGCGCTGTCCCTCCGCTCTTCAGCTCAAGGCTAGGGCTCTACCCCTTGAGCCACAGCGCCACTTCCAGCTTTTTTTTTCTGCTTATGTGGTGCTGAGGAATGGAACCCAGGGCCTCAGGCATGCAAAGCAAGCGCTCCACCATTGAGCCACCTTCCCAGCCCGACTTTTTTTTTGTTCTTGCTTTCTTTGCCAGTCCTGGGGCTTGAACTCAGGATCTGGGCGCTGCCCTGGCGCCGCAGCTGCTCCAGGCTGGCGCTCTACCCCTTGAGCCACAGCGCCGCTTCCGGCTTTTTCTGTGTCTGTGGTGCTGAGGGGTCGAACCCCGGGCTTCATGCATGCCAGGCGCGCGCTCCACCACGGAGCCACCTGCCCGGCCTGGACATGGACTCTCGAGTCTCTGACCTCCAACGAACCAGCAAGAAGCTGGGCGTACGAGTGCGGTGGAGCGCCAGCCTCAAGTTCAAGCCGCGGTGCTGGCGCGCGCATGCGCAGCTGCACGCACACGGGCCCGCGCGCGCATGCGCGCAGTCAGATTGCGCAGGAAGCCGCGGTGCCCTCCCGCGGGCGGGGCGTTTGCGGGTGTGGGGAGGGGGGAGCGGCCCCCCCTCACCGCCCCGCCCGCGTCAGTCCCACAGACGGCAGCACAACAAAGATAAACCCTTCAAGTGCCACAACTGCCATCGCGCGTACACGGACGCGGCCTCGCTGGAGGTGCACCTGTCCACGCACACGGTGAAGCACGCCAAGGTGTACACGTGCACCATCTGCAGCCGGGCCTACACCTCGGTGAGTCCCGGGGCCGGGGGGGGCCGGGGGGGCCCCGA